TACCGCTCGCTGTACAGCTCGAGGTAGGAGACCTGAGCCGGAACTTCGTAGCGCTAGTCCCACAACTTCTCTTGCCAGCCAGCTTCCTCCAGGGATCCCCTCTCTCCACCCTCTGAGGCTGGAGTTACAGGTAGGCTGCTGGGCCTGGTTTTTCAGTCCGATTCTGAACCACGAACTCCCTCCGTGACCCTGGAATTCCTTCCGCACTTTCTAGAAATGGCTTGCTGTATCTTTACAGAAATGTCCTCTATTCATAGACAAGGCAAACTTCACTTATTTAAAGTGTGACCATCACTGGAACGTGGTGGCGCACGCCTTTAATCCCAGCACTTTGGAGGCAAAGGCAGGCAGATCTCTGTGAGTTCGAGGCCAGCCTGGTCTACAGAGCTAGTTCCAGGACAGCCAAGGCTACACAAAGAAACCCCGTCTCAAAAAACAAATGAATGAATGAATAAAGTATGACCATAAATGGAGTCAGAATTCACCCACTGCAAAATCTGGTTTCTCCTACTTAGGAAGGAAGTCAGTACTAGAGACCTCTTTGGGAATGGTGCCAGGAGCCCAAAGCTCTGCTTGGTATCAATGCATGAGACTTGCATGAGGGAGGCTCAGAGGGGGTCTGAATGCGGTGACCCATGAAACTCTGAAAATGTCTGTCATGACGTCATTACCACTTAATCCCTCATTTTTGGGTCCCTGCTAAGAGCCCCTTAGTGGATCCTGAATACATTCTTTTGGGGGTTTGTGGTCCAGGTTGCTGCCTATCGATCCTTCTCTCCTGGCTTCCTGCCATTTCCACTACAGGTGGCAGTGGTGGGAGTGAGAGCCAGGAGGAGGAAGAGGCTCAGGAGGTGAGCAGCAGCCTGCAGCCGCCAGCACTCGCAGCCCCAGTAGGGGCCAGTAACAGCATTGGGGCGGTGCAGCCAGGACAACAGGACTTGCATCTGCAGCAGTTAGAACAGCAGCAAGCAGTTACAAGCAGTTACAAGAGCAGCAGCCTCAGCATCAACTGTTAGCACCTCAACTAGAATTGCAGCGGCAGCAAGATGGGCAACAGTAGCTGTCTCAGTTGCAGCAAAAACTACAGGAAAACCTCCAGTCCGAGCATCATCAGGAACCAAAACCACAACTGCAGCTGGTGCAGCATTCAGGACTTGGACAGGAGCATCAAGAGCAACAGTTGTTACAGCAGCAGCAGCAGCAGCAGCGGATGATTATGAAGCCCCAAGGCCAAAAGCAACAGCTGTTACTACAGCAGCAAGAACGACTGCAGCAGCAGCAGCAAGTACAAGAACAACTTGTGCAGCAGCATGTGCAACAGCAACAGCTATTGCAGCAACAAGTAGAAGAACAAGCTTTGCTGCAGCAGCAGCCTTTACAGCAGCCAATGCAAGAGCAACGACAGTCACAGCAGCAGCTTCTCCAACAGCAGCAACTACTGCAACAACATGAGCAATTGCTGCTGCAACAGTTGCAAGAACAAGCATTGCAACAGCAATTACAAGGGCAACAGCTGTTGCAGCAGCATCAACAGGAGCAGTTACAGCAGCAGCTGCTGCTCCAACAACAGGAACTGTTGCAACAGCAGGGACAATTACAACAGCAACAACTGCAACAGCAGATACTGTTGCTGCAGCCACAGGGACAGCTAGAGCAGCTGTTGCTGCAGCAGCAGGCACAGTTGCAGCAACAACTGCTGCAGCAGCAGCAGGTCCAGATACAGCACCAACTATTGCTGCAGCAAGAGCAGTTGCAGCAGCAACAGTTGTTGCAACAGCAGCAGCTGCAGCCTCCTCCGCTGGAGCCAGAGGAGGAAGAAGATGTGGAACTGGAGCCTATGCCATTGGGCATAAGGTCAGAGCAGGAGCTGGAGCAGCGGCGGCAGGAGTTGGAGAAGCTGCGAGAACAACGGCAGCTGAAGCTAAAACTGCAGGAGCAACTGCATCTTCTGGAGCAGCACCTGAAGCAGCAGCAGCAGCTGGAGCAGCTGCAGCAGCTGGAGCAACAGGAGGTACACTTGGAGCTGGCCCCGGTGGAACTGAGCGCCCAGCATCAGGAGCTGCAGCTGCAGCTGACCTCTGTGCAGCCAGAGCTGCAGCTGGAGCTGGTTCCCACTCCCGGAGGTGGCATAGCATCAGCTCCAGTCTCCTACGTGATGGCCCCTCCAGGCTATGTGGTGCTGCAAGAGCTCATGGTACTGCCCACTGTGGCCACATCCACTATGGTGACCATTACAGGCACCACACGGAGTGAGGCTCTGACGCCCACAAAACAGCGGAAGAAGCGACGAGGCAGGGACAGGCCCACCATCTGCGGGGAGTGTGGCAAGGGTTTCAGCCGCAGCACGGACTTGGTGCGACACCAGGCCACGCACACTGGAGAGAGGCCGCATCTCTGCAGCGAGTGCGGCAAGGGTTTCTCGCAACACTCTAACCTGGTGATCCACCAGCGCATCCACACCGGCGAGAAGCCCTACGCCTGCACCTTCTGCTCCAAGCGCTTCAGCGAGAGCTCGGCGCTTGTGCAGCATCAGCGCACCCATACAGGCGAGCGGCCCTACGTCTGCGGCGACTGCGGCAAGTGCTTCAGCGTCTCCTCCAACCTGCTGCGCCACCGCCGCACCCACTCGGGTGAGCGGCTCCACGCGTGCGAGGACTGCGGCGAGCGCTTCCGGCACAAGGTGCAGATCCGCAAGCACGAGCGACTGCAGCACGGGTCAGGCCGCTCCAGAGGTCTGGGCCTGCAGCGCTCCTCCAGGCAAGCGCCCTCAGGAGTCTCCACAAGGGCCAAAAAGGCTTCTGCATCTGGGAAGAAGCTCTGAGTGGTGTGAGAGCCACTCACACCAGGACCCTAGGTCATGATCTTAACCCCAGTTTGAGGTCTTTCTGGGTATCTTGAATTATCCTTAGAAAAGAAAGACGTCCATCTTTTCCCAGACCTACCCCCACAATGCACCAAGTCCACTGATTCAATCTTCCCTCTAAACCACGCACAAGAGAGCAACTCCATGTGGGTGAGAGAGACTACTAAGACTACTACTCCCCGATTCCGCCCCCCTCTCCCGCCGCCTTCCTGGGAAAACTGGACTGAGAACTTGCCTGGTGGCAAACAACTCCTGGGTTTGATACGCCCAAACAGCAACCAGCCAATGAAATGTGCAGTGTGTGTGGGAGCTGGGGAATGAATGGATCATTCTGAATACTTAAGGAGGAACTGAAAAGGGGGCAGATGGTGTAGCTCAGCTGGCAGAGTGCTTGCCTAGCACAAGGATGGGTTTCATCTCTAGCATCATAGAAACATATAAACGTGTGTGTGGCACATGTAATCCCAGCACTTGGGAGGTAGAGGCCGAAGGATCAGATGTTTAAGGTAATCTTCAGCCACATAGTGAGTTGGAGAGCCTGGGTTACCTGAGACCCTGCCTCAAAAAAGAAACAAAGAAAGAAAGAAAAAAAAGAGGGGGGAAAAAGGAAACTGGCTTGCACAATGCAGTGAACTTGGTCCAGACAATAAATTCTCATAAGTGACATAAACCTTGAAAATACTTGTTGGAATGAAAGGCCGAAGGGTGAACATAGTTCTGGTGCAAATTCCTGTGTTCATAGACACAGGGTCACAGTGGCCTCGGGGGCAATGTGCAAATAAAAGTCAGGAAGTTCTGCTCTGGGTGGAAGGTCGAACCTCCCTTCCTCAGGAGCCCAGCCTACAGGCATTAGAAGCAGGTTCTGGGCCTCCATTGCAAAGCTCCCAAGCCATCTGTACCTCCTTACTGTTCTCCGCTGTAAGAGCCTGTGGCTGAAGCAGAGATTTCCAAGAAGGAAGGAGCCTGGGAAGAACTTCCGGGTAGTCCCCACTTAGCCTAAGCTGTTTAGGTGGTGCCCATTTGACCCAGGGACCACAGTCTTCCGGCCGGGCCATAGGGTAGGGGTGATTGGTCACAGGAGACTTCACCTCCTGACTGAAATGTGAGATGAATGTTGGGGACAAGGACTGGACGTGTCAGAAAGACTGTAAACCATGTTTACCAAATCGTATAGGGCAGGGACCGTCTGGGGAGGTGTGCCAGGTGGAGAGGGCCCTCCCCAACCCCCCCAAGCCACTTCCTACCCCACGTGACCTGCTGACCCACTGTGGCGGCTTGGTCCTTGCCATTTCGCTGCCCTCCCTGCTTCTCCTTTATTAACACAGCCTGGCAAACTTTACACCTGTGTTGGCAAGTGAGAAACAGACCATGGAAAATAAAGTGAAGAGTCCCGTGCGTCCTGCTTGTGATTCGAACTTTGCATTTTTGCGTCTTGCCTGTAACTTCTCTTGTTCATTTAAAACAGAGTCTTGTGTAGCTCAGGCTGGTCTCAAATTCCCTCTATAGCAGAGGATGGCCTAGAACTAACTTCTGATTCTCCTCCCAAGGTCCGGGCTTACAGGCTTGCACCACTGTACTTGGATCGAACCCAAGGTATTGTGTACACTAGGCAAGTGCCCTGCCAGCTGAGCTACTCAGTACATGCAGTGCTGGGGATTGAACCCAAGGTATTGTGTACGCTAGGCAAGCACTCTATCAGATGAGCTACACCCCAAGTTATGGATTCTCTTTTTGTGAGATTTTTCTTTTAGTGTAGCCCAAGTCATCCCTGACCTTGCAGGAATTCTCCTGCCTCAGCCTCTTGAGCACTAAGATTACAGGCATGTGCCACCACACGCTGAGATTAGAACCGACCTGTGTGTGTGCATGTGTTTGCGGGAGGATGCATGTGCCACAGTGCACAGAGGACTTTGTGGGGTTGATTCCCTCCTTCCTCCTTTATAAGGATTCAGGGGCTTGAACTCAGGAAGCCTGGCTTGGGTGACAAGCATCTTTACCCGCTGAGCCGTATCACCAGCCCTGACCACCTTATTTATTTGAGACAGGGTCTCTCACTGAACATTAAGGACGCTCATTGGCTAGACGAGCTGGCTAGTGAGCCCTGGGAACCCACTTATCTCTGCATCACCCACAGCTCTAAGGTCAGAGATAATGTGTTATCACACCTGTCTTCTGGGGTACTGGGGATCTGAGCTGGGGTCCTCATGTGTGTACAAGCCCTTTGCAGACTGAGCTGTCTCCCAAGCTCAGAACAAACCTTTCCAGGGATGAAAATGTGTGTATCTAGGCCAACATTATGAACACACTGGCTCTGAAAACATTTTAGGTCTATCTTTATTCTTTTAAATTATGTGTAGGGGTGTGTGCGTGCGCGCACGCATGCACACGTGTACGTTCATGGACACATACGGGTATGGACACATGGATACAAGTGTTGCCACAAAGGCCAGAAGTGTCAGATCCTCTGGAGCTGGGGTTATAGCGGGTTGAGAGCTGCCTGATGTGGGTGCTGGGGAAGCAAACTCAGGTCTGCTGGAGGAGCAGCAAGTGATCTCAACCACTAAGCCAGCTTTGCAGCTCTGGCTGAACAAGTTTGAGACACATTCCTCTATAGGACTCAGGGCTCATGAGGAAGGGGTGAGCTAGATTTAGGGACCTCCAGCTCCTTGGTTCAACAGGGGTCTGCCTAAGCCCTCCACCTGCAGCTTGTTTGTTTATTTATTTATATGGTTAGTTAATTAATAAATTAATTAATTTTGTTAGTTGTTTGGTTAGTTAGTTGATTAGTTAGTATGTGTCATAGCCTGTGTGTGGTCAGTTTTCTCCTTCCACCAGCCAAGCAGACCCAGAGATCACACTCAGGCTTATCCACTGAGCCATCCTGCCAGTCCCTACCTTTGGTTTTAGTCAAAAGTTTTAGAAGTGAGTGATTCTTTTTTAAAAAATTTATTTATTATGTATACAGCTTTTTCCCTACATATATGCTGCAGACCAGAAGAGGGCACCAGATCTCATTTCAGATGGTTGTGAGTCACCATGTGGTTGCTGGGAATTGAACTCAGGACCTCTGGAAGAGCAGTCAGTGCTCTTACCCTCTGAGTCATCTCTCCAGTCCAGAAGTAAGTGATTCTTTAACTCGAATGGCGTGAGGCTACCCCGGTTCATATGCCATTACCCACCACATGTGTTCAGGTCCCATTTTTGCCCTTGATCCTGGAAGCAGAAGAGACCTGTCCAAGACACACTTGTTGGAGAAAATGAAAGCCAGTGGCAGAGACCAGAGAATTTTTTTTTAAGGAATTTTTCCAGATGTGGTGGCATACACTTGTAATCCCAGCATTTGGAAAGCAGATGCAGGAGGACAGTGAATCCAAGGCTAACCTGGGCTACATAGCAAGCTCTTGTCTCATGAAAGGAGGGAGGAAGCCAGCGAGACATGGCAGTTCACGCCTGTAATCCCAGCACTTGGGATGCTGAAGGGGGATCCAGCGTTGGAGGCTAGCATGGGCTACATAGCATGAAGGCTAGCATGGGCTACATAGCATGAAGGCTAGCATGGGCTACATAGCATGAAGGCTAGCATGGGCTACATAGCATGAAGGCTAGCATGGGCTACATAGCATGAAGGCTAGCATGGGCTACATAGTGGCACTTTATATTAAAAAGAAAAAGACAATCAAAATAGTGTAGATAGAGGACCAGTGTCACTCGAGGGAAGGAGAAGACAGCCATAAAAACAAATACAGTGCGGTTTCTAAAGCACTGTTCCATTACAGCAAGATGCCCAGGCTTGCTAAGCGTGGTGGAGGCAGCAAGGTAGGAGTTTCCAGTTTGGTCCCAGCTTTTAATTTCTCCACGTTCACGCACAATGCAGTGTCTTCAGCAAAGGCTCTACCGTCTGGTTCTGGTGTACAACCAACGACAGCCGCCACAGCCTTTATGGCTTGAGGGACCTCAGGGGTTTCCCTGGCCAACAATCCACAGGAAGGCAGCCCACCCCTGGCAGTAGGGTTGTCATTCAAGAACCTTAGAGCCTCTGGCCATTTCCACCCATGTACTACTGTATCTCTTGGATTTTCCCCTCTTTTAATTAGCCCAGCCCTGTAGGGTTGGAAGTTATGTAGAAATACCATGGCATCTGGTTGTCTCTGGTGGTTCCCAGATCTGCGAAACACTCGGAGGTTAGCATCACGTCATCCATAGAACCAAACCTTTTCCAGAGAATGCGGGTCAAGGTTGCATCCTGAACATGACAAAGATAACCTTGGTGAGGCACTGGGGAAGTTACTGACGTCTGTTCTCAGCAAGGGTCAGGCGACCCCAGGGGTTAACAACCAAGAATGTACTGGAGTCAAACATCCGCACGGCCATTCCGTCCATTTGTATCAGTTGCTCCCTCCACAGATCAAGGTCGGGTACGATGCGTGAATAAGAGCTGATATAATTAGCTTCCTGTGATCGTTAGTGGTTCTCTCTGAGCCTGCACATTACCATATCCTGGAGGTCTTCCGCGGGGCCTTCCCACATTTCTCCACCCCTGATAAACTCAGTGGGCTTCAAGTTAATCTGCTCAGACCCACTCCGGGCGGAAGGGGAATGTGACCCTGCTCTCCGCTGCTGTACTGGATGGCTCCCTCCCTCAGAGAGGCCTTGGGTTGCCATTGTAGCTGTAGCCTCCCCATTCACCATACCTGACTCTTGGGGGAGTTCTTGATCGGTGAAACTAGCTCCACCCCTACCATAACCTCTTGCTGGCGGGAAATGTACCCTCCTTAGTCCGGGGGCATGTTATCCCGGCACAGGCTTGACCGTCTTCGCTTGTACTGCGCTATCAGCGATATCTTCTACAAACTGCTCATCGGGATCTACAGCCTTCCGGAAGCTCCTCAGCACACAATTTGGCTTCCTATCCGTTTTCTCCTTGGGAACTCCAGCTTGACACAAATCTTCTTCTTCTTCTTTTTTTTTTAATTGATTTTATTAAGCTCTACATTTTCCTTTGCTCCCACCCTTTTTTCTCCCCTACCTTTCAGCCTTCTCCCATGGTCCTCATGCTCACAATTTACTCAGGAGATTTTGTCTTTTTCTACTTCCCATGTAGATTAGATCCATGTATGTCTCTCTTAGGGTCCTCATTGTTGTCTAGGTTCTTGGGGATTGTGAATTGTAGGCTGGTTTTCTTTGCTCTATGTCTAAAAGCCACTTACGATCGAGTATATATGATATTTGTCTTTCTGTGTCTGGATTACTTCACTCAATATGATGTTTTCTAGATCCATCCATTTGCCTGCAAATTTTTAAGATATCATTATTTTTTCTGCTGTTTAGTACTCCATTGTGTAAATGTACCACATTTGCCTTATCCATTCTTCGGTTGAGGAGCATTTAGGTTGTTTCCAGGTTCTGGCTATGACAAACAATGCTGCTATGAACATAATTGAGCACACTTCCTTGTGGTATGATTGAGCATCCTTTGGGTATATACCCAAAAGTGGTATTTCTGGGTCTTGAGGAAGATTGTTTCCTAATTTTCTGAGAAATCATCATACTGATAGCCAAAGGGGCTGGACCAGTTTGCACTCCCATCAGCAATAAAAGAGTGTTTCCTTTACCCCACAACCTCTCCAGCATAAGTTGTCATCAGTGTTTTTGATCTTGGCCATTCTTACAGGTGTAAGAGGGAATCTCAGAGTTGTTTTGATTTGCATTTCTCTGATGACTAAGGATGTTGAACATTTCCTTAAGTGTCTTTCAGTCATTTTAGATTCCTCTGTTGAGAGTTCTCTGTTTAGGTCTGTACTCCATTTTTTATTGGATTATTTGTTCTTTTATGACCAATTTCTTGAGTTCTTTGTATATTTTGGAGATAATCCTCTGTCTGATGTGGGGTTAGTAAAGATCTTTTCCCATTCTGTAGGCTGTTGTTTTGTCTTGTTGACCTTGTCCTTTGCTTTACAGAAGGTTTTCAGTTTCAGGAAGTCCCATTTATTAATTATTTCTCTCAGTATCTGTGCTACTGGGGTTCTATTTAGAAAGTGATCTCCTGTGCCAATGCATTCAAGTGTACTTCCCACTTTCTCTTCTGTGAGGTTCAGTGTGGTTGACTTTATGTTGAGGTCTTTGATCCATTTGGATTTGAGTTTTGTGCATGGCGATAGATATGGATCTATTTTCATTCTTCTACATGTTGGTATCCAGTTATGCCAGCACACTTGTTAAATATGCTCTTTTTCCATTTTATATTTTTTGCTTCTTTGTCAAAAATCAGGTATTCGAAGGTGTTTGGATTAATATCTGGGTCTTTGATTGGCTTCCATTGGTCCTCCTGTCTGTTTTTATGCCAATACCAGGCTGTTTTCAGGACTGTAGCTCTGTAGTAGAGTTTGAAGTCAGGGATTGTGA